ATCTGATCGAAGAAAGACATATGTACTTTACAACGAAATAATTCATAGTGAATGAATAGACTGGTGATTATAAACTGATTATGAATTTAAAAGCAAGATACATTAGGACTCAAATCATCTTTCAAATATTTAGAAGCAATATGATCAGGTTGCTTTTAATATAGACGGCGCTCCAAAGATTATGTGTAAATGCTATAATCAAATCTTTGAACATTTTTATTCTACAAAAAAGAACATTAAAGGGAAGGAAGGGCGTCATAGCTTATCAACAATGACAAGACACTTAAAGATTGCTGCATGTTAACGGTTTGAGAACAGACAAAAGAATGAAATCATAAAATTTTTACAAAAAAGGATATATTTAATATTCTATTATTATACTTCTTTAACTAATAGTTAATTATTTTATTAGAAATCTGCTCCAACTGACGTTCCTTTTTCATAATCAGTCTGGGAGGAAAAGATTTTATTATTTCTTATAATTAATCGGCTTTCTTTTTATCTAATTGAGCATTTAACATTTATAAGTTTGATTAAAATGGCTCACAATACATTCAATATGTCACAAATTCCATTTATAATGACGATCTGTCGTCGACTAAAAGTGCTAGTCAAAGATCGACAACAAAGGGTCTTTAGGATGCTTCCTTCAGGTTCAAAGATATCAATTGTGCTTGACAGTTGGACATTTCCATTTTCTCAGACATTTCTAGTTATAACTGGCTATTTTATTGATGCTGATTGGATATATCGGGAAGTATTTCTTGGCTTTAAATCTTTTCATGAAACATATACTGGTTTGAATATGAGCAATGTTGTTTTTGAAACACTGAATAATTATCAGATTCAAAACCAGATCTTTGGATTAATCAGTGATAATGTATCAAATAACAAAATACTGACTGATTCTCTTTAGCAGGCCTTATTTAATGATGTTAATATTATCCGAACTTTTTGTCTTGTTTATGTTATCCAATTTAGCTTGAACCAGCTTTTTGACCGTCTCAGAGCAGTTTCACAAAACAATACTATAAAAATAAAATAGATTGATCAGCTGTCATCTTTAATCAAAACAAATACACAGCATCAAAAGCATGAAATTTCTTATATCTTGAACAAAATCCGCTCTCTGGCAATTTATATCCACGAAAGTCTTTCACGCCGGAAAACATTCAATAATTTTTAAACAAACGATTTCAAGTTTTCATCAATTCAAAATGTAAAAATTTGATAAAATTCAACCTTTTTCATGCTCCATCGCGCGAAACGACTCCGCGATATCTTTACACAATTCTGTGCGGACTATGACTGCGAAGAAATGATATCAAATAATAAAAAATGACGCCAAATCGACTATCTTTTTTATATTATTGAACCGTTCTTTTTTTATACAATAGAGTTATCAAAGATTCGAGAAATTACAATATATCTTGTTTTCAAGATTTATAATGCGTTCTTTGAACATCTTGAAAAACTAATGAAGCAGCTCCGGCGGAAATGTGTTTTATGAAAAAAACAGATGCTTAATTCTCTTGAAATTGATCGATCAAAGCTTGATAAATACTATTCGCAGACAGATAGAATTAAATCACATATCTATGCGATTAACACAATGCTTGTTTCTGATAACAAATTCCAATTCTTTTTATCTGATGACTGAGATAAACAATGACATGAATTTTATCGGATATCTTTTCAAGAAATTTTGATTTCTTATCAAGAATATCTTTCTATTATTCAAAGCTCTGCTATTTCCCTTATCATAGCCAGACCAAGCTCAAGACTTGAAAAGATGTTGAATGAGCACAAATCACAGTCAAAGCCAGTGAGAAATGAAATGATTCAATATCTTGATAATGATATGTTAAATACATTATTTTTTTTAATTATATACTAATATTCTTGAAAATACTATTGACATGAAGCCTCTTCAATTCTGGAAAGACAATAAATATCGATTTTCAATTATTGCAATTCTTGCACGAGATATTCTTTCTATTTCAGCAACAGATGTTGATATTGAACGACTTTTCAATATTGTTCGAGATATCTGTCATTATCGCTGCGGTCGAATGAAGTCTAAAACAATTAAAAAAATTATGATGTTTTTTTGTACATCAAGATTTGATTTCGAAAAACAAGAGACAGAATTTCTCAGAGAATTCTTTTTTATTTACAAAATAGAAGCAGCAAAGAAAGAGAAGGATAAGAATTTAAAAGAGATTAAAATAGAGCCGATTAGTGACATTGAGAAACAAGAAAATAAAAAAGTAATAATGATACAGAGCCATACAAAGTCTGAGTTATCAGAAAATATCATACAAACACGAGTTTCAGAAAGATTCAAAAAGAAGAAGAATAAGAAAGATGATAAGTTTGAATATCATTAATATATTGAATTACTGCTTTTTAAATAATATTTTAATAACTAATCTTTGCACGCTGACCGCTTCAACAAATAAAAATATAAGATATAATCAAACGAAGTAGACATTACAACAAGTCAATGATCGCTTTTCAAGAGAAATAATGTAAGAGAAATATTCAATATTACAATTAAAAAATGCATAAGTTATGCAGTCATGAGATCGGAGCATGTTTGCACTGTTTAGCCTAGTTTGGGGGCCCATTTGGGCCCCATCTACTGGCCGTGGGCCCCTGGGCTCAGCCCATAGCCCATTATGGGCCCTAAAACCTGGCCCAAAGCCCAGCCCACTTGTGGGCTGGGTTGGGTTGGGCTTGGGCTTTAGTGGGCTCTGATGAAGTCTACTCGTGATGTTAAATTTTGATAGTGTGATTTGCACGAATGTTGGAAAAAGCAGACTGAAGTCGTTGAAAAACGATGTATGCTAAGATTATAAAGAATACAATTATGTTAAGGAATTTGGTTTATATAAAGTGTCACATGTTTCTCAAGTTCGGAACTGAATAAACGCACGGTTGTTTGTCCAAAGGAATCACAAGATTTTTGATATGTAATTTGGCCATTGGCCGCACAGATAGACACTTTTCGAATCTTAGAATTTAATAGTCTGAAATCAAACCTTGTGTGTCACGTTATATTCTATTTATTTTGTCTCCCAATAGTACATTTTGAGATATTCCTCCCTATGTATCTAAAGGTTTAAAAATCTTTATATTTTTTCGATCGCTCGGTCGATCTAATTTCGTTTTAAAATTAGAAAATTCTATGTCGAATTTAATTTTACCCATGTCATCACGAAGATGTTATGCTGTTGTTTAAGGTCGCCTTTCTGTCCCAGGCATTCTTTTGTCCTGATAAATGGTATATCACGGCTGGAGAGAATCTAGTCCAATTAAAACATTTATTACCGCTGACAATATAATTTAGGAATAAAACAAAGTCTTTAGTCAACGGTTATCCAGGAGCTAAACATCAAAGCTTTTTAATCTTTAATAAAGTTATCGAATTTTTGATCGAAAACGGCGTTTCAAAAAAGCAAAAAGTGATTTGAAATGTTTCGATTGAAAGATAACAAAAATAATCGTTAGCTTTTTATACCTTTGTTGATGTAATTAGCACGCCATTTATGTACCGTTATCTTTATTATGGTACATATGTAACTATGGTTTTGGAGAGAGAAGACTCGAAAGATATTAAAAAATATCTGTGAACGGCGTTCACTTGTCTCTACGGACCGTTTATTTTCAATCATATTGTCGTATATTATAACATTAAGCTAATGATATAAGAATGCACCTTTTTTGCAGGGTATAGCAACGTCATTGATGACTATAAACAGAATCTTGCATGGATAATATTATCGAACAAGATTTCCATATCCTAATTTGATTGTGCATAGCTTTTTGTAGAGTAGTAATATTAGTATTATTTTGTAGGTAGTAATTAGGTGAAATGTCTACCAAAAGCCATTCTTTAGCCCGCTGTTTCTGTTGTTGTTAAATTGTTGCTATAACGAGTATTGCAATATAGTTTGTCCCATTTTCTATCGATGGTAGTCACAATCTTGGTAATCTTCGTACAGTTACATCGAGTATAATAAAAATTCGTGGCTTTCGATAGCCTATGTTGCTACATATTTCCTCGCGGTGGGAATGTCTTCATTACATCTTCCAATGAAGGCATGGTTTACTGGCAAGGAAACTGGAATAAAACGAATTTCGGTTTAGCTATTGATACTTGATTTCATAAATAAAAAAGACATGATAATATAGGTATTAGGCTCACACTCTAATTCGTTGACTTCTTCAAAAACATTATCTTCACTGCGAGGCAATTGTCAGTGAAAGTTAGAAAGAGGCATGTTTCTTGTATCTTGGGCTCTCTTTTAGAGATGCGGGGTAGCTTGACTTGCTCCTCTCAACATATCTGAAATATTACCAAACGCTTCTACGATTCATATTCATGCGTGTAGGATGTTTGATCTGCGCCGAAAAACTACCCCGCTGTCACCCCAATAAATGTGGGTTGATATCCAATCGACAATGCAGTAGCCCTCTTTCGTATTTTCTAAGGGGTCTAAGCGCTTGTGCGTTTTATCTAGGCATAATAGGAACGAATTAAAATCACGAACCAGAATCTTAATGTTACACGTTGGGCATCTACTTTTTAACCGGGCTGAAGAGTCCTAATACGATGACCCTTGTCGAAGCAAAAGTGTTAAGGCGAATTTAGCTATTTAAAGTAATAGTTTACGGTGAAGGAATGTACATAGAGATTAGAGATAGTGATACCCTGTATATTATTTAAGGCGAGGGGTCAGCGTATGAATTACCATCATCATCACCGACTGTAGTATTTGGTATTCCATCTAAGAGTCGAACTATGAGAAGACAGTAGGCTCCAAGTTAATCCATTCTCTGCAACTAATGAGTATTCTCGTCTAGCACATTATATGAATGAGAGAGCACAAATGAGAGAACATTCTGGAATCTGAAGTACAATCCAGCCGTAAGCTTCTAGCCAGGAAGTAAGGTTCTTCTATTATCACGTTCAAAGAACCAGCTTCGTAAGTCAATCACAAGATTCTGCGCAGTAGTTCCTTGAGAAAGCCGTCTGCTTTGGCCGCTTGCTTTGGGAATATCTTTTCGGTGTCTTTGGTGTACTTCCTGAGCGCAGCTTGGTTAGGAAATCTTTGAACGGCCGCTCCTGTGCGACGAGAATCGATCAGGTCAAATATGTTGACATGCACTTTAGCAAGAGCCTTTATTATTCAGTTCCATACGTTTGGGTAGTTTATAATTTGAGATGAGGAGAAACATACCTTTCGACACTGTGTGACGCTAGTTAGAGGCCCCTCGACCCGCAATTCCTGACAAAGAGCTCGGTAGTTTTGAAGTTTATTGCCAATATGATAATAACGTTCAAACTCAGTGCTTGCGAATTTGACCTTTTCTTTTCTGTACTTTTTGGAACCAGTACTCCAATTCATATGATGTGCTAGACGAGAAAATTCCTCAGTTGCAGAGAGAGACGGGTTAGGCTGGAAGCCTGGAAAACGAGAGAAAGTATCCTCCATTTCTTCATAAGTAGGGGAAATCGGTTGTGGGGCTTAAAGCGAGTGTTTACTCAGTAGGAACATAGGACCCACTTAAATACAGCTTGAGATTATGATTCTGCCTCTCCATTGTGATAACGAGGTAAGCTGGAGGGTGGCTTTGGAATTCGTATGGCTGCTTTACTTGGTATCTTTGTATACTCTCCAAAGAGGAAAGGAGGAGACCAGTGATTGGTAACCCCGCACCTTGTTACGTGGCCATCTACCTTTGACCCATGCAAAGCTGACATTTCCTCTCGCGGCGCCTGTCAACCGTTGAATCCCATGGGAAATTATTACATCACTCTCTTTTGCACCAGTAGTTCGTGTTAAAGCTGTTGAGTTGCCAACAATAATTCTCCAGCCTAATTTTATGCAATGAGCCCAAGGCAGACAATAACATGACTGCATTATTGCAAATACACAAACAAATCAAATATTGCAATGAAATAATCACTGGTGACACATCTTCAAGGCTTGACGAAGCTAATAATTCTTGACATTTATATTCAATCTAGAGACTTTATAAATCTCTTTCATCAAAAAAAATGGACTATATTCAAGTTCCTTCAAAAGTCAAATTACTAGACTTCCGCACAACCCAACATAATCCGGATCCAACCCAGACCCAACCCGGGCTGGATTGGGTTTTGGATCGAAGATTCCAATCCAATGTTGGATCCAGATTAAAGTTGGATGATCCAGCCTGAATCCAAGGTCTCAATTTAAATTACAAACATAATATATATGTCAAAATCTATAACTACATAAATTATGCATTTTTTATCGATAATATTAAATATTTCCTAATACTAGAGTCTACCACACCTAGGCTGCGGCAGGTCGTACGACATCAACATTTTTTCATTATCATAGTCGGCAACCGATACAATATTGATTTTTTCCAATATCGTTATCGTATATACGATATCTAACAGACATCAGACAATATCGATGGATATTGTACAAATATCTGCATTAGCATCAAATTCATTAATTTATTCTATTCTAAACAATCAGATGATAGTTATAAAACTAATTAATTAATATCTTACAACTGAAAGTTTACATGTTTAATTATAACGATATTCATTTATTATTTTTTTCACTTGTCATTGAAAATAATAAAATATAATATTGTATTTATAAATTAATATTGTTAATGTAACAATATATATTTTATTTAAATAACAAGCGTATTATTATTGCTTGTAATTTTACAATTATTAATTGATAAATGATTGTTAGATAGAAATATATATTTAATACACAAATAATGTAATATGTTTTCTTACAAAGTTTTGATTTTATATCCGAATTTATAAATATTACAATTTTGATATTCAAAATAATATTTATAGATTTGCGAGGGCTTTATCTCATCATAAAATTATTTTATTTAATATATTTATATATAAAAATAAAGCGCAATTTATATTTGAAATTTCTAATTTGCGGATTTAAACATTTTTTTTAATTTAAATGATCGCGAAATAATCGTTTAATATTCAATATAAATCGCAAAGATTTTTCAATATTATCCGATATCGATTGGATATTAGATAGATTAATTAACAAATATTCACTTCTATTCATTTATATTCAATTAATATTGAATATTATTTTTAACACATTGAGATCACGCCAATATTTGTTTATAATCTCGTTTTTATTTTATAGTTGAATTCTCTGTAAGGTTTTTATTTATAAATCTAATTATTTTATTATTTTTATTTAATCTTATATTTATTATATCTCATTTTCAAACATTCTCGAATCAATATACAGTGTTTTAATATATTAATTCATTTATTAATTCAGATATTTTACAATCAGATGATTTTTTAAACGCAATAAGTAATTAAATTACAATATAATCAACCCTTTTTTTGAATTTCTTTTTCTGTTTCAATATTTTCATGCACTCGATTCACTTACACACATTGTTTGCAAATTCTGTCAACAGATTTATATATTTTATAACAACAATAAAAATGATTGAACAATGAACAAATCACAAAAACATTTTGTCAAATGATAATTAATAATTAAATTCAACATTAAAAAAAAACTTCAGAATTCTGTTTACTAAAATAATAATTTCAAAAAGTCTAATATTTGAATATCATTTAATCAAATTGCAAATATCAAGATTAATGAGTCTAAGATTATATGTAAACACTGTCAAAACATAATTATTTATTCAAAGATTAATTGTATTAATTTATCATCAATAAAGATCTATTTTATCAATGTAATCTATATTAAATAACAAAAGATTACAAAGCAAAACATCAATCATTTATTACAAAAAATGATAAGTTTATTTCTAGATCTAATCTATATTATATATTAATATTTTTTATTTTTATTCAATTACGTCAATCAACAAACACAGAATTCAGTCAAATCATTTTTTAAAAGAAAATCTTTAAATTTATTACAATTATCCGTCTTTCATTTCGCATTATTGAATATTTGAAGTTGAAAAAACTATTATAATATATTAAATTTGTTAATTCAAAGCTTAATATTCTATCCATCCGCAATATAAGACAGTTTTTAGATAATGAAGTCCAAAAACAACAGCAAAATATTTTTAATAAACTTTTGTTTAAAAATTATTTTTCTATTGCATTAGATTGTTGGATTTTTTTTTGATTAGACATTTATAACAATCACTGAATATTTTCTTGATCAAGACTGAAATTATTGTGAGATTTTTTTTAAATTTGAACATATATAGAGATTATATATTGAGATTCAATCAAATAAAATTGTTATTCGAATTTTTCAGAAACATAATATTATCAATTAAATATTATTAATCACAATTAATAATGCATCAAATAACAACACAATAATCAAAAACATTTAAAAAATAGTTCAATTTCAGGCTCTTTACAATATATCTATTTTCCAGATATCATGCATTGTACATATCATGCAACTTAGTTTAAAAATCCTTTTTGGAAAGATTAAAACAAATTCAAAGAATGCAGAGACCAAATCAGAATAATTAAATGAATGTATGAAATTGTTACAGATTGTTTCATATCATTTTTCAAGTAAAAACATTATTTGTGATTATTTGTAAAATATGCCGACATGGGATATAACCCAAAGAAATTTAACGTTATTTAAAAAATGGAGCCCATTTATCAATAATATATTAAAATATCGTTTAAATCAATAATGCAATTGTTTAATGACCTAATCTTATTTATGAGTTTATTGCAATCGATTGGCCGAAATAATTAAAATAATTTATTGTTAAATTATCAATCTATATTAATAAATTATTATGCCAACAAAATTTCCAATGGTAATATATAATCTGAAATATTAAAATCATACGCGAATAATGGTATAAAGTACATTAATGATTTTAATATTTCAAACATGGCCGGATTTCTCGAATTGAATAAAAACGGACTGATTTTTAATTCGTATAAATATATATTTTAATTTTTTATTAACACATATTTCTCACCCGGCACGATTTCCAAAACATTTTTATTATTTATGACAAAGATTTTTTTTTAACAATTTTGATGCGATTGAACAAACATTGTAAAAAATCGAGATCATGTAAATCGAGATTTAAATTGTCCGAAAAACGCAAAAAATTATTTAAACATGCGATATTATTAACGCGAATCTGTAATTCCGAATGATTGGATAAACCATATATTTGAAAAATATCGTTTTTTACGATTTAATACGCAATATCGTTATGTCTAAAATCAAAAAAAAAAACGTTACGGCGTTTAACGATCCAATTGAATGAAAAATGCATCAATTGTAAATAACGATAAAATAATTCGTGCGTAAATATTAGCAAACAGTCCAATATAATGATTTTTTAATTTGATTTGTCACGATCTAATCAAATGTCGAAATCGTGTTTTCATATTAATTATTATAAACATATATAAATGTCAATAACATTATAAATATATTTAATTATAATAACAGATTTTCGCGTTCATTGTTCACACGCAAGTTTTTTACAAATAAATTAATTTCTTATACGGGATAATTTTCGGATAATGTAAACAATAATAATAATTATAAACATTGATCACGCAATCTAAATTTAAATCCACATTTGAATGATAAAATAAAAACGTTGAAACCGATCCGATAATTAAATAAATAATGAATTTGTTAAAATAACGATATTTAAAATTTTGCATCAAATTATTGAATTAAAAATAATGAAAATATAAATATAAAAATGTGTTTATATGTATTATAACAATATAAAATTAAAATCACAATCGATAACAGAATACCGAAAATTATTTTTTGATTTTGTCGCGAATGATTAAAATAACACGATTTATGGTAATGCAAAAAATGTTATGGTTAAATTTAGATTTTGAAATAAATATTTAGATTTGATTATAACAAGCTGATTACATGCAATGAATATTAATCAATGCGAATAATATGTTTAAAAATTTGATATTAAACAAATAATACAATAATGTTAATGAAATAACCGTTTATAAATTAAATGTTAAGACATTGATATTTCTATTATTATTTTTTATATTGTTTATGCAAATTGATAATCAGGAATCTTAACCATTAATGGTTTCCCAAATCTATCACACGAACAAATCGTTTTAAAAATAGATTAAATAAATAATACAAACGTTTATAATGCATGATTGGGTCAATATAAATATTATTGGATTGACAAACATATAAATTAAAAATTTATTATGATATTATGATGATTAGGCATATCATTTAATATAAAATGAAAAAATCGAATATTGATATTTGCAATTTATTATTGGCGATTTTCGCGGATTCATATATAAATTAATCGAAATTATATAATAGATCTTATGCGATGTGTTGAAAATCCGATATATTTAAACGATTTCGATTATTTTATAATATATTATTTACGACGATCTCACGTAGCAAATGATAAAATGCAATTTTTTGAAAAATGAATATACCTGATGATCGATCGACAGATAATGATGGATTTGTAATTAAATATAAATCGAATTGATATTATAAACGCGTTTAATTATGTAATAATATTGATATTAATTATATTTTTTAATTATAATGCAATATTTCTAGCAGATGATCTGTTTCAAAGAAAAATTAACCGTATTGATATAAATAAATGGTAAATAACCCTATGCAAGGACTTGATGTTTTATGATAGCTAGATCAATTGGCGTAAACAAATAATAATAATTTTAATACAAAATGAAAATTGGAAATAAATCTGCTTTTATCTTGGAGTGTTTGAAAGGATAAACATATATATATCGATTTATAGATAAGTTGTTGTTCCGATCAACATCCCAACAAAATAATTTTTTATAGAAAACTGACTTTTACAAATACATTTCACGATGGATCGGTCTCAATTTTTAAATAATTATAAATAAATACCTAACCAATACCATATCTAATTTTGGATGAAATCTGAGCATAAAAACTAAATGAAAATCATATAACAAATTAAAAGAAAATCATATTGTGTTGTCAATTGAGCAACCAATCACAGGCCGTCTTGTTCGGCATTCTAAATGCAAATCACATATCTTTCCCCACGGCCTGTGAGATAGAATTAGTTGTCTTAATTCAAGCTTAAATATTTAGAATCAGTTGCCTCAACTAAAACCAATCAGCTTAACTAAAGCCAGTCAACTTAACTAAAGCCAGTTGATCTATTTCAAGCCAGTTGCCTTAACTAGAGCTTAAATATTTAGAAATCAGTTGATCCTTTTCAAACCAGTTGCCCTGATTAGAGCTTAAATAATTAAAAACCAGTTGCCTCTAGTAGAGCCAGGGCATTCACTAGAGCTAGTTGATCCTTTAAGCCAGTTGTCTCAACTAGCCAGTTGTCTCAATCAAAGCTTAAATAATTAGAAACCAGTTGCCTCAACTAGAGCCAGTTGTCTCAATTAAAGCTTAAATAATTAAGATCTAGTTGTTTTAACTAATTAGTTGCTTCAACTAGCCAATTGGCTTAATTAGCGCTTAAATAATTAAAAATCAGTTGATTTAACTATAGCTTAACTAATTAGAAACCAGTTGTCTCTACTAGAGTTCTAGTTATCTAAATTATATATATATATATACTACTACTAGCTCAATTTACTATATATAATTAGACATATTCACTATATATGTTTATCATTCTATATATTCACTACATATATTCACTATATATATTCACTATATATATTCACCATATATATTCACCATATATATAAATAGTTTTTTTTAAGTTCTGCCTTATAAACCAGGCATTCATCGCTGCCTCAGGCATCAATGTTGACACCCTAGGGTGGGTGGCGGTCAGGCTACCCGCCTTTCTGCCGGCTTGGCATACCCCAACAAAAAGTTCCCCTAGTAAAATTCACCTGCCTTTTTCGGCCTAGCCGGACTATAAAAGTGAAAAAAAAAAACTATACAGGCAGAAACTCTAAGAAAGTAGCATTCACTAGAACAATTTATATTCGAAAATATAAAGAATTGACTGAGTTTGGGGGGGGGGGGGGGGTATGGTAGAACCTAGTATTAGTATTAGGTCTGCCATACTCGGTGGACACCCACTAGAAACAGGCATACTAATGGTATTGTGCCCCGCGGTCTTGGTGTTGGTGGATGACGCCTGTTTACGGGGTCGTCCGATCTTGCTCCGGAGGGAAAAAAGACAGCGCCGCTGATTGGCCCGGCATGCTTCGCAACTGCTCCCAGATCCGGTGAATGACGGCTCACAGCGAACCTTGCGGACGTGGCATTCCTCACAGGCCAACCGAAACTGAGGTTCAATCAGACGGGACGAGCTGGACGAGATGAAGTTGGAGGATGATGACCCGGAAGCGGAGCTAAGATCTGTTATCCTTGTTATTCCAGCAACTTTGATTAAATCATGGAGTCCTTCACGGGAAGGAGTGATGGAACTGGATAAAGGTTTGCTTTGGGGGGGTTCCCGTAAGACAGACCTTCTCCGAGACGACAGTGCGCTCAACACCCTGTTCCCTTTACTTTTCCTCCGCGGGACCAGGGTCGCGTTCTTCGATTGTAAGCGCCGGGGACCTCTGGGTGTCCGGCAACATCTTTGCTGCTATTTGGGTTGGGAGTTTTGATTCTTGCATTTCTCTCCGCCAGAACCAGTCTGGCGGGAAGCAATCCAACTGTCCCTCTATCAATTCCTGGACGACACGGATCTTAGAGCCGAACACAAGGGACATCTGACTTCAGAGCGATAGCCACCGCTAGCAAAGGATGGGCACATTGTGGAGTGTTCGGATTCAATGCATGAACCGATTGGCTGGGTATTGCGTTCACTTGCGTGATTTATGTTTCGTTTTTGCATCCATGCCTTTGATTCGTGCCGCGTGGACAGGCCAATTCGTGAACTATACCGGGGAAGGGTCTGGGATTCGGAAGAGAGTCCTTGGTCGCTTGCATTAGGCAGTGTCTCCCCTCGCTGTTGTCCAAGCACCCCGCAACATCGAGCTGGCGCTTTCGCGAGGGTCCCTGCTGTATGCACCATGTACAGACTCGACAAGCCTCACTGGAGAATGGGCATGATGAGAGCCAAGGGCACGATGTAACAATCCCATGGCCTAGTGAGTCACAGCGTTACATCGGACACTAGAGCCTTGCTCGTCGCCCAATCACACTGCCATTTCAATCGGAGCGCAGTGCAGGGTCTGTACAGGTCAATGTGACGCCCAAGTACTCCGCATACGCACAGGGCGCTGTCATGGCGGAAATATCCGTACGGAGAGATCTCTCGTTGGATAGATAGATAGATAGATAGATATTTGCCATGCATCCATCTAGTCAAGCCTTTCCGCCCAGAGTCAACGACTAGGTAGAAGTTGCGCGGAATCTGCCTCGGAGCGGTCCTTCGTACTTAGACTTTGGCATTACCCAACCCATCGATAGGTTTTATATAGGGACCCCTAGGTACCTTTTTGACATGTGGTGGGTGGTTAACCGCTTTATGGATTTAGCGCTTACAGTGGATTGACCTAACGAAGCCACCTGGCACCTCCATAAGCGTCATGCCGCGAAAAGAATGCATAGCGACTTCACGTTCCCCTTTGTCATATGTTCCAACATTTTGAACTATCTCCCTCGAGAAAGAGCCAATCAAAGCTCTTTAGACTTCACCAACAGGACCGTAGAATCCCCCGCACCCCCAGAAATGAGGAACACGGTTCGCTTTGCTAAGCAATCACTGTGACCTGGGAGGTCGGGGCCTTTTTCACCACGAAGCATGTGAGCCCAGTAAGAACGGCCACCCATACCCATGGTACGCTCCAGCCTAGAACCTCTAGTTAGAGTCCTAGTCCCGACACCGCAGGCCTTTCTCAGGAAGGGGCGATTGGTGAAAAACACACCGAGGACGTATGATATTTCCTTGTCCGCCAGGCTTCCAATCAGGGCGAGGAGCAAGATGGACACTCCCAGCCCCGACAGGCCCCAGGCCCAGCCCATCCATTGTAGAAGGGCCTGAAGCGCTTTGTTGGAGATATAGCTAGCATTCATAAGCTGGCGGAAATGTACCCCGTGGCCTCCATCAACCGCGACCACGTCTTCAATAATTGTGTACACCCCGGGTCGAACCAAGGCGCCTTTTGCCATCGACGAAACACGAAACGGATATTTGGCGCGCAGACAGACCAGCATTGATCCAAACACCAATTGACTGCTAATCTGAAAAGCCAAGAGCGGTAGAGGAAGACTGACCAGGAGGACCGCAGTGTTCTCGCGGGGGTGGGCAATGGCCACGGCTACAGCCAACAGCGCGGCGATGTAGACGAATCCGAACAGAAAGTTCCATTGAAAGTAGTCGAGCTGCGGGAATTTTCGCCTGTCAGGAGCCATGCGTAGTACTCATGGAAAAGAAGGAGACCGGTACTCACTTGATATCGCGCTGTTTCGGATGGGCGACATGTCGAGTCGGGCCGAATAAGCCGCCGCGTCCGGCGCACCAACGCCAGGACACTCCCGACGCCTAGTATGGTAGCTATGATTGCAAGGACTATAGCGGATTTAGTTCGGTCAGCCACTACAGTGAACTGAAGCAATTCTTCCAGGATCTCATCAAACCATGACCCAGGCGGAAGGGCTTCATCTTACCTACCTATCCGTAGCTCCAGCCGAGCGACGTATCTGAGAAGGAAGTACAACAACACGGGAATCAGTCCACTGCCGATAAAAGGAATCGCGGCCGTGACTGCAATTGTGGCCCTCCATTGGCGACAGTTTCCTATGACTTCGCCGTGGGAGATCCGGTTTGTGAGATGAGAAGGAAATTTTGCTTCCTCTCCGTTCAACGACAATCTCATTGCAGGAACGGAACTCGACCGAGTTGAGTTCACTAATGAACAGGCCATCAGCTCTATCTATGCTTCTGAGCAATCTAACTAGAAGCTAACCTGTCTAGACTGAAGAATTCGGACCTCTCTAACCAGCAGCACAACGAATAGAACCGCATAAAAGTCGCCGGCGGAAGAAGGTAAGGCAGAACTAATTTCAGAAATTGGCCGATGCGTAAGGCTAATGGGGGCACCTCCGGAGCCCTCTTGCAGGGTTGGGTTTCCGGCCATTTTCTGTCCCATCACTGTCAGCTCGACTTGCCTGTCACATGGTCTTTGGGCAAACCATCGTTCTGGAAATGTGGCAAGATCAGATAAGACGGTCCTTGACTGTCGCTTGCAGGCCGTTCCTACTCTCGCGGTAACAGACCCGAAGATCGCCTTGTCTCCGCCAATAATCCTTGTTGCATACGTTATCCCAGCGTTCACTATGGCCTCCGCCCGTGAACACCAGTCTCCTTGCATGGACTGGCCTAATGATGCAGGCGTATGTTCGACCCGTGATGCTATTCGGTCCGAAAGCTGAACCTCCTTCGTTTTGTACAGTTCGAGGCCACGGCCGAGTGTCGCGAGCCCGTTGAATTACCAGTCACCGGCTTGATCCCTTGGCAGGTCGCGGGAACACTATACCGAGTAGGGCCCGGAACATATAAAGTGGCAGGGAGCAAGTACCAGCTCAGTCATTGGTTTGATGGGTTCACTCATCTGCATCGCTTTCAGATGGTGACGCAGCCTACTGGTACCTGCAGGGTGTTGTATAGCTCGCGACGGCAAGTGGATAGACTGGTCGAAGAAGCACGGAACTCGGGGACTCTTGAGGGCATCACCTTTGGCCAGAACCGAGATCCATGTGCGAGCATTTTCCAGAAGGTCAAAGGTTTCTTTCGTCCTCGTTCAATACCAAAGACCCGGGGCTCGTCAATGCCGGGGTCACCGTCCATGCAAATGTACGTTTGGGAACTTCAATACCTACCTCGTCTTCTGTCCACACAGAACTCTCTTACAGCCACCTTGCCGGTTCTAACAAGCTAGATCCCGGGCGTAACACCTCATCCTACGAGCTCCGATGCATTGGCAGGAGTGCGGCAATTCCGCAGTCTGACCACTATGACAGATGCCAACATACTCAAACATGTAAAACCACCATATTCGCGAAAATCGGATCCTTCAACTTATGGAACAGGCGTTCTAAGTTAAACAGGTCGACCCGGATACCCTGGAGCCCATGGGGGTCACTCGCCAGGACACTCTGCACCCCGAGTTGCGAGGACCCCTTTCATGTGCTCATGCCGCCCTCGACCCTACAACTGGGGATTTGTTCAACTACAATCTCGACCTGGGTAGATACGCAACCTACAGAGTTTTCCGAACCGCGGCTGCTACCGGTCAGACGGATATCCTTGCCACTATCTCGGGGCCAACCGTCAAACCGGCTTACCTCCACTCCTTCTTTCTGAGCGCCGACTATGTGATTCTGTGCATCTGGCCCTGTACCTTTGCGGCAGCTGGCGTCAGAATCCTGTGGGAGAGAAACATGGTGGATGCTATGCGATTCGACTCCAACATTCAGACGCGCTGGTATGTCGTGGACCGAAAACAAAACAAAGGGGTCGTGGCCGCCTTTTTGAGTCCAGCCTTTTTCAGCTTCCATACCATCAATGCATGGCAGACCGACAACGGCGATGGAACAGTCGATGTCATTTGTGACATCATTCAATATCCGACCGACGAAATGATCCGGCGAGGGTACTATGAATCGATGGTTTCCGCCGGTAGTGACGTGGGGAAATACTTCGGCAGTGAAGCATCGCGTCCCAGTTTGGTCCGCTATCGCCTGCCCAGCGTGCCCAAGGACTCCCGGGCCGAGTTACCTACCAACGATACAAATATACCCCCAGCAGACATACTGCTGAAAATTGAAGGCGAAGGGGTTGGAGACCTGCCCACCATCAACCACTGTGTTGCCACCAAGCCGGCGCGATATGTGTACAACGTCGTCAACCGGGGAAAGGTAAGCCACTCGATTCCGTGATGGGCTATGGGATATCATTCAGAGCTGAGCGTCCCATCTTTCCAGTCATCCTTTTTTGATGGCATTGCCAAGGTTGATCTGGAAACGCAAAGGGTCCTAATCTGGAGCCAGAACCACCATACTCCGGGCGAAGCTATCTTTGTGCCGGACGGTACGAATGCCGCCGAGGATGCCGGGTACCTGCTCAGCATTGTTCTGAATGGCGACACAGGAACAAGCTACATTTTGTGCCTCAATGCGTGTGACATGACGGAAGTAGGACGCGCTGATTGTGCTGCAGCAGTGGGCTTTGGTTTTCATGGTACACATTATCCTTTTTGCGAATAGGAGAGGAGTCTTTGAGCGCTTCAAAGGGTACGTTGTTCTAGGAATCATATCCCCTACTGGTAGCCTTTAGCGCATTGGGAATCCCAAATCTAAATAATGGAATCAAGAGGCAGTGCAGTGCTAGACGATAACCCCCTACGGATGAACCGACAGGTCCAGAAGATGGTGTAACCCGAACTGGCTTCGTATAACCGTCGACCATGCCGTTAACACTTTGAAGGAGACTGCGGGGTTATGTCTGTGGCCGAAGACTTTTCGGCCTATCGTTGCCCGGTTTCTCCCATCGTGCCAGAAGCTACGGGCTGAACTACAGCAAGCACAAGACGTTATCCTGCCAGTACTAGAGGTCAGACGGCAGGCTGCAAGAAGAGGGCTGGAGGAAGCCAACTTTGTACAGGTTGAAGCTCATGGATAACGTGTTGAAAGTCAGCAGCTTAAACCAAATTGCCATCAGTAAGTAGTAACCAAGACCTCTAAATCAGATTGACAGAACTAACAGGGATCCTTAGTCTCCATGCGGCGGTTTGCCTCGGCCGACATCAACAAGGCGCCGGGGGAAAGCTTGTCCCTCTCTCGGAAGGGACGGTGCCCGCAGTGCCCTAACCTGCCCGGCTTCTTGGCATTCGGCGCGCCTTGCAAGATCTGGTTAGTCTTGTGCCTCGTCTACGTGCCTCGCTTGGGGCAACGACGTCATGTGTCCCACGTGACGGGTGGGGGTCTGGAAGATAAAAGCCGTGGATAATCTCATTAATTAGGGTGAGGACTACTTCGTAACCATGACTATGCTGGGCCACCTTGCACTGGCAGTCATCGCCGTGTGGGCCGCTAACCCGGCCGCCGCCAGCTACGCTTTCTACGTTGGTAAGAACCTCACGGCCGACGGAAGTACGATGATCGGTGGCACGGGTGAAGAAGTTTCGAGTCACTGGCTCCAGCTGTTTCCGGCGCGCAACCATCCCCCAAACGCGACAATCACCGTAGGCGTCACCAAGGACGCCAGTTTCCCCGGCGAGCTGATCCAGATCCCCCAGACCAACCATACCTTCCGGTACCTGAGCATGGAGTACTCGGACTACGAGGGATTCCCCGCGCCCCTGACCAACGGCGGCCTCAATGAGAAGGGCGTTGGTGTGCGGGACGTCTGGGCCGACAACCGAGACGAGCTGCTGGCGATGACCCCCAATCCCCAGCACGGGTTGCAGTACAGTGACCTGGCTCGCATCGTCTTGGAGCGAGCGAGCACGGCCCGCCATGGCGTCGAGCTCATCGGCCAACTCATTGCGAAGCACGGGGAATCGACGTATGGCGGCAACTCCCACCTCATCGCCGATCACGACGAGGGCTGGATCGTCTGGGAGATGGCCGGCGGCGCGGGACTCTGGGCGGCGCAGCGCCTGGGACCCAACGAAGTCAAGGTCCTGTATCCCGGGTACATCGAGGACTTCCCGGTCCACTTCGGCGACAGCGCCGATTACATGGGTTCCGAGAACATCGTGTCGTTCGCAGTCGAACGGGGTTGGTGGAACGCCTCGTCCGGCAAGCCGTTCAATATCTTCGAGGTCTACGGCCCTCAGGATCCCCGGTACCGGGCCCGTGACGGAGGGTACAAGTTCATGTCCCAGGCCGCCCTCGAGAATGCCACGCTGCGCATGGCCCCCGTGACGGAGGAGGATCTCATGGCGCGTGTCAGAGATCACCGTATTGCGGATGACGAGGCTGGGTACGGACAAGTTGTCAGTCTGCGTGCTGGCGTCGACCGAGACATGCTCCGGATCTGGATCGCACCCACCGGGTCCGTTTCGGCGCCTTTCCTTCCGTACTGGCTGGGGGTTGAGTCCATCCCTGCGGAATACGGAGAACACCGATACCTGACGACGGGGGCCTCCAGCAGCTTTCTCAACCCGGACTATCAGCTCCAGGAGGCCTCGGTCTTCGCTGGCCGGGTGTTCAAACGGGTTCTGTACTATATGTGCTCCTCGCCCCGCCAGTATCTTTCCCTGGTGACGGAGATGCTGACCCGATTCGAATCTGAATCACGCGCCCAGATTCAGGGCTGGGTAGAGCATTCCGCCCAGCTCTTAATCAATGCCGGTCGACGGCAAGAGGCGCAGTCATTGTTGACCTATTATTCCCATTCTCGGGCAACGGCGGCTCTTGAGATCGGCCACCGGCTGAATAATGCGCTGGATGGTTATATCAAGCTCACCAATCAGTGGCGTACCCCGGTGGGCGATGAAATCAACGATAGCGGCGAGGGCAAGGAAACGGTCAATTGCTTGGTTGGATACGATCCTGACCAACCGAAGAACCTGCAGTCATAAAGCTACTCGTTGCCGGGACAGTCATGATGGGATTATATAGCTAGTCACCGTAGGGCGCGTTATCTATTTTAATGCTAGAACAATGGCTGCACAAAGTCTCTCGAACCCAAATCATTCTATCGTCACCTGTCTCCGCACTCTGTCGGTCTGTAGCCACGGGAGCGTATCCGCCACCATTCACAGGTCGGCCCTTTAGCCGTTCACATCAATGTGCTTTCCCATTTTATATCCTTCATTCTTGAATACCATTAAAGTACTTGACCAGAGGTTGTCTAAACCTACTTTCCTGTAGCGGTCCTCCCCAGTCCTGGGTGACCGGCTGATGAAGGCACCGATGAACGCCGTTCATATTCGGTAACGTAGTGTCATAGATGTTGCCTTGACTGCTACCTGGACCAATCATGATAAGGGCCACTTTCTGAATGCAGTTGACAACTTCACCCTCAGCACCCTTCCTGTCTGCTCTTCTTTCCATAACAGATTATCTATGTTAGAGCCACATCATTGTCTCGAGTTCTCTTTGGTGGAACAGACCAGAGGCGCTATATTGAACACCTTGATGTCGCGAGATCACCAATTTCCCAGAATGACAGAGCCGACAATTATTATTGACGTTCCTATCATGTTCGAAATGCCCCTGGGAGATTACCTCTCGTTCGAATGTCTGCCATTATGTTCGGGAGCTAGATATGGGTGGCTCATGGCTGTCGCCCAAGGTTGGCGGAGTCGCGGGCCGGATATTCGTAGGTTGCAGGGATGGCCGCTGTAGATGGTGGGTTCTCGAAGGATCTAAAATTTCTATTTTTCGGCCGGTAACTCATGGATGTGCGTGTTTTTCATGGTGTCCAGCTCCGCTGGCACACTGTGTCCGTGAAGCTCCCTGGGATTCAAGTTCTGATACTGGTGCAGCGCCCCAGGTTCGCCAGCCGGTGGTGGCATGGGCTGGTTCTCTTGTCGCCGACGCAGCAAATACCAGATGAAGGCGCCAACCACGGCGAGACCGCCGACGCCGCCGACGACACCGCCGGCGATCGCCCCGCCATGATTACTGGACGAGCCGGTGGACGAGTTGGATGCGGACGTGGTGGTGGCGGAGGCAGCGGCGTATGTGGACAATGTGGTAGAAGTAGGAGTAGTGGACGTCGATGATGTTAAGGTTGCAGCCCCGGAGATATCTGGTTCATAACGTCAGATTAAACACTAATGAAAACCGACGATTGCTCACTGTAAGGAATCGGATTCAAAATGGAATACGATCGGTTGTTAGGGACACCGTCGGAGCAGCCGACGGCATCTTTTGGGCTGTGCGTCCAGAAACCCGTCTGCTCGTCAAGGCAGCAGAAGTATCCGGTGTGATCGTACATGGTTGCGTTTGCGATGGCACAGTGGGGCGACTCCTCCAGGGGAGCGGTGCAGTCTGCCTCTGATGGACAGCAGACATTGTTGGGGATGGCTTGCGTGGCTCCCGGGCAGACCGAGTTGCCAGGACAGCAGGCGTGGAAATTGTCCCAGGTGCGGCCGCAGCTGGTCTCACTGCTGAGACAGGTCCCATTTCGGCGCAGAGGGAAGCCGTAGGGAGGGTCGTAGGACACCATCGCGAGTGTAGCAACGGTCAGGGGGGCGCGGAGGGAGCGAACGAAGGTGTTCGGTGAGTCTGACAGCGAGAGGCACGCGGAGAAGAAATCGCACTGAAGTTTGGGGGCCTGAGTGGACCCCGGGAATTCGACTTTTGGCCCCCATTCTCTCATGCTCAGTTACTCACGGACACTCGTGGACCTTTCCGTCTTTCGTTCCTTCGAACGGGATAGCTTCGAGCCGTTGCGATTAGTTTGAGATCGGTTCAGGTAGTGGCCCCACTGTCGCGTTGCTTAGCTCGTGTTATGATTTCTCACTTCGAGAGCAAACTGCACAAATGCAGAATATTGAGTAGACCTATAACACTGCATTTATGGTCGGGTAGTGGATGTTGGTATTTACCAGGACGTCATGGTTGGGTAGTTATAGGCACCCAAAGTCCCAAACATTAAGCGAATGAAGCCGCAACACACCTGAAGTTTATGTTAAATAGGAAAGTAGCGTATTGATTCTTAGTATTCTCTAATTGCAAGTGAGAAAACATCTATCAGACTCTATAATCCTATGGGTCATACAATGTCTCGGTGATCTATGTACGGAGTATGCTTGTTCTAGGTGTGGACAGTCGGAGTAAGTTACACCGTGGAACATCACTTGACATCATCAACTTATTGTTTTCTCTTTCCCAAACATCGTGTACACAGCTCATGCGAGTTCATTTTTGAACATGTGTGAGTTGATCTTATTTTTTTCTGCTTTGACTCGCGCGAGTTTTGATTTATTAAATAAAATGATTTGTGCGAGATTATAAAATTACATTATATCTTGTTTTTATTTTATTTTTTTAATTATTTTAATTATTTTTTGTTTAATCGCTTTTCAAGTGCTTGTTAAATGATTGAAAAGATAAAATGAACGAGAATCTAGAAATTTTAATTTTTTTAATCTAAGTTAAAAGTTGATCGATTATAATTCTCAAAATTGAATATATTGATGATTTATCAAAATATTTTATTATTCATTTTTACAGATATTCATATATGATAGTCACAAAGGATTGATTACAAAAAAAAGTGGAATAATTTGTACAAAAAATATTTTAAGTATTTTTTAAACACTTTTAAAATATTTAAATTAATATTATTAAATTCAATATGGCAAACGATTGCAAATTATAAAATAATTTCTAATTTTTTAGGAATTTTTTCAAATTTATATGAAAAAATAAATTTAAAAATGCAATGAGGTTTATTATTATAAAATTTTGAATTTATTTTTTCGATTTTATTATCATATTTTTGTAGATGCAAAGATATGAAAAAAATTTCAAAATTTTGTTAAAATGTTAAATTTCTAGAAACAAATAAGTCAAAACGCAATGTTTATAAATAAAATGTTTTTTAATATTTGAAAAGTGCTTGTTAATCATTTTATAGTTCTTTTTGTTTGAAAATGATTTTTTTTAAAAGAGAATTGTTTGTAAAGATTAAATTAATTTTTGTAAATTTTTTTAAACGATATACACAAAAGGTTTGTATAAAATAAGTTAAAGTGTTTGAGAAACATTTGGTAAATATTTGACAAAATGTTTTTAAAAAAAATGATTGCATATTGTTTGTATTAAGAATAACAATGAATTTATGAATTATTATTTTTAATTAAGAATTTTTAATTATATGATTTTTGATTTAAGATTTTTAAAATGTTTTTTCAATGAACATATCATATTATCAAAAAAAATGTGAAATGATTGAATCAATAACACAAAAAAAAAGATTTTGTAATATGTTAATGCAAATATTTGACAATTACTTGTTAATTGATTAAAAGATTGTAATTATTTGGAAAAATAAAATTAATTAATTCATTTATTTTATAATGTTAAATTTTATGCAATGATTTTTATTGATATTTGTTTATATTTTTTATTTTTTTTATATTAATTGAAATTTATAAATATTTTTTATTATCATCAAACAAATTTTCGAAATGAATTTTGAATAATATCAAACGAATTATTTAAAAATTATAATAATTTAGCTTTATTACAAATAAATACGTATCAATCATTTGATAAACATTTATTAAATATTTATATAATGCAATTTTTTTCAATTTTTTTATTTGAAAAAATTGTAAACAATTTAATTCTTTCACATTAACAAAAATTTATTTTATATTTATAAATACTGATCGAATCTCTGCAATCATTTAAAAAGAATATTTATTGTCAAATTTTTAAGATTAGAGATTAAATGAATTGTTGTTTTAATAAAAAATAGATTTTTTCTTAAATAAATGTTTGTCAATTATTTATGAAATATTTATTAAAAAGAATAAGATTATATTCAAGTTTATTATTAAAATACATCTGGATTAATAATATTTTGCATTTTCAAAAAATAAATTCATTTTTTATTCAAATTAGATTCATTTAAAGTTGATATATCGTACAAGTGAATTCGTACAAAAGGATTTAATAAAAGTTTTTTTTTCAATTCTTTTGATCGATTAATGCAAAAATAAATATTTTTTCAAATGTTTGTTTATTAATTGTTAATCATTTGACAATTAGTTATTATTTTTTTTGTGTGTTTATAGATTAGAAAATAATAAAAAATCATTATTTATTATTTTCATATGTTTTTGTTTTGATTTATCAAATCACACAAAAAAAATTTAATTTTAATCAATTTACAGCATTGGAATTTTCGGAATAATTATTGATATAAATATCAAACAATATACAAATAAATATTTTATAAACATTTTTCAAACATTTATTAATTGTTTAAATCTGGAAAAATATCTCGTTGAAATTGATTTTTTATAATGTAATAATCAATAATATTTACAAAATATTATTATATTTTGTAAAATATATTTTTAATGATTTATTTTGAAAACAATTGAAATTCATAATTATGACAATGATATATAAAATCAAATGATTAATTTTTTTGATATAAAATCCAAAAAAGATTATAATAAATTGATAGATTTATTTATAAATTAATTTTTATAAATATTTGACAAACGTTTGTTAATCATTTTATAAAATACAAATTTAATGAAATCAAGAATTGAATTATTTATAGAAAAAGTTTAATTATAAAGATAAGATTGAATCAAATTTGTTCAAAAATTTTATTTCATTTTTTTGAATTTTTTCGAAATCATATAAATGCAATCAAATAATTATATCAAAAATCATATATCATCGAAAAAAATGTGATTTTAATTAAAATAACACAAAAATATTTATCAATTATTTTGTAAACAATTTATTTTAAATTAATAATATTTTAGTTCTGCAAAACTTGATAAACATAATATTTTATAATATGTAAATTTTCAACAATTCAAGATTTATTATTTTTTTCGAACATTCAATATAAAAACGAATTATTGCAAACATATAAATTGTAACAATAAATATTGATTGAAGCATTTGATAAATAAATATAGAATATTTATTTATATACAAATCATAAATGTTAATGAATTATTTTTTGAAAATCTGTGAATATAAATTTAAAAATCAAAATATAATATCAAATAAACAATTAATCGAAATCACAATCTTTGAAATTTAATATATGTGAAAAATATAACATTCAATTAATGTTTTTTAATCATTTATTAATTATTTTATAATTTTTAATCCAATTTTCGCCGAATTGTTTCAAAAAATGTATTAAATTTTAGATAATATTGTTAAGAATTTGAATTTCGAAAGTTTAAAACAAAGATTAAAAAACAAAAAAAGATTAAATTGTAGTAATTTCAAAATGAAATTTTAAAATTAAATCTTTTAAAAAAATAATGTCGTCTACAGAAATTAACTGATTAGAAAGTATTTCTTAAGTGTTTTTGTAAAATTAATATATATTGTATAGACGCTCGTTCATTTTTTATATAAATATAATTGTTTAATTTTTGATATATACAAAATCATTTATCAATCATTTAAAAAAGTGATATATATAAATGAACAAATTTAAAAGAATTTTGTAATCTTATTTAAGTTTCACACATTTTCAAGGAATCGCATAAATTTTTGTGTTAAATATTTAATAAGTACTTGATAACGTTAAAATATAAATATATAAATATAATATTAATTATTTCAATTTATATTGTTGATTATGCAGAGATCTTTATATTTTTATATTTTTTTAGATTTTATTTTTATAAATGCTTGATAAATAGTTTTGTAAAATCTTTAATTAATTATATATATATTTTTTATTGATCGTTTATAATATATATATTTTTGTCAGAATTCGCAATTTGTTTTATTTAAGTATTTATAAATCAATTATATTAGAAATGTTAAATAAAACAAGCAATATATATATATATTATTTTATAAATTAATATTTGATTGTTTTTTGAATAATTTTTACGATTACAAAATCTTTTTTTTGAATATTTATGAAAAATTTCATTTTTTTTATTTCATTATTTTAAAAACGATCATTGTAATATCAAATATTTGAAAATCATTTTTAAATCATTTTTTATAAATCATTTTTATATTTTTATATATCAATTCAATCGTTTCACAAACATTTTTTAAACAATTTTATTTATATTCTCATTTTGTTGGTCCATGGCAAAATCTGGAATCAAATTTTTATGATTAAAAAAAATAAAATGTTCGCATATATTAATATTTTTATAATAGACATTGTAATTTTTACAAAAATTATAAAAAACAATATAATTTTTGTTTTCGATTGTTTTGTGCATATTGATCACATAAATCTAAACGATTATTAATTATTTGTCAAGCATTTAAACGAAAAAAATTTATATTATTGTCTTTTTTGATAAAAAAAATATTGTTGATATTTAAATCCGCAATATCAATTTTTTTAACATTTTTGATATTTGTTTATAAATTGTGATATTATGTTAAACAATTATAAATTAATTATCAAACATTTTATTCAAATTTTAACATTATATTAACAATTTTATCAATATTCTTTTGTTTTATGCGATTTTTAACATTACGATTATTAAATTTGTATTTGTTGTAAATGATGATATGCGATCGAAGATTATTGATAATAATATATTTTTTTTAAATAATTAAAAATTAATTAATTAATAATAAACAAAAATTTTAATAAATTTTTTTTACATTAATTTTAAAGCAATTTAACACACAACAAAAGATTTTTTTATAATAGAAAATCGATTTGTCGTTATTTTAAACAATTACCAAGCAATTAGTATAAAACAAAAAAAAATAAAAAATTTGAAAAATAACAATTCAATTGTTTATTAAATAATTGTAAAATTGTTTTTTAAAATTTTTCATTAAAAATTATAATTTTGTTTTCTAATTATCATTTGAAACAAAAATTATACAAATTCATATTTAAAAAACTAAATTTGATCGATTTACGCGCAGTGAAGATATTATTGATATATATATTGTAAAAAAATGTTAATATAATCAATTAAAAAATGATTATTAAATAATTATTTATATTTACAATCAGTTGTGTTATCTTGTTAATTAAAACACAATTAATTGACAATTGACTGTTTATTATTTGATTTTTTTGAAAAAAAATGAAAAAAGTGATGTGGGAGAGAGAAGAAAAGATGCGAGTGAATCGCGTGAAGGAGATGGGAAATAAGATTTTGAAAGAGGTGTCGCGAATTAAAATTTTGAAATTCTCGTGTGTGGATTATGTGACCCATTAGCGCCATTTTCGACTCGCGACACCAAAAACCGGGCCTGTCCGAGCTGCAACCTGCCAAACATCCGAGCTCATCAATTTCCCAGACGTCAACGAACAAGCTACTTGGTGTATATGCTCGGCCTGATGGCTGAGCTATATAAAGAAAAACACATATTTCAAGTCCACCTTGAGTCCGATATATTGTTAGGATTTACGCAATATATAAACGAACAAAGCTAGCCGTATACCAGAGGAAAGCGCCAAAGACATGCATTATATCTACCCGCAGGAGCATACATGACCAATACTTCAGTCTACGCTTGCCTCGCGGAATCTAATATATGTATTCTAAAGCTCTTGCAAATAATGGAGACGAGGGAGGACGAGAAGAGGGCGCGAGCGAAGGAAAGAAGTTCTCAAGTCTTGTTATGATACTTTGCATCTAGCATGTATCTGCAGTGGGGTCTCAGGATAGAAATGTACGCATAGTAGCATTTGCAAATCGGATTCAACCTGCAGATTATCATAAATCTAGCTGGTCAGAGTTTCGCTAATCGAGGTACGACTCTTTTTTTAATTCCTCCGACTATGCCGGGTCGCTGCTTTATTTCTTTTATCTTCACCTATCCCGGAATTGCCATTGGCATCACGACTATTAGGTATATACCGTCTTTTATATCAACGTGGAACAACTCTCCTCTGGAATCGAGTGACACAATTCACATATCCTTTGATAATTGAAGATTCACAGCGCGTTCGACATAGTCATAAAGGCCGTAGGTGACCTCGGTCGTTATGAGCAATATGGTTATAAGGCATGTATATCACGACTTCCATGAAGAGGATTTCGTATGCGAGGGGTAATATCCTCAGCTCATTCGGCACACTGCTGTCTTTAGTCCCTGCATGTAACGTCAGATGAAAGTGGTGTATACTACCTAGTACCCGAAACCCAATTAAGGTGAGGAATAAGGACTGGAGGGTCGGAACCCAGCAGGATAATTGATAACAATGTATCACATCAGCCGCAAGAGGTTCAGAAAATACAGCACCTCGGATCCGTTATATAACAGGTAAACATATCGCCATCATCTCGGTGATTCAGATTATTTATTTGGTCTGACATTGGCTAGTCGATTTGGCGTCATCTCTCTCGACAAGTTTGACGTAACTATGTAGGGCTCAACCTCACTAACTACTTAGCTAAAATTGTTGGTACAGCACTTCTTTGGTATAACCAAAAGTAGAATAGAGAAGCATTCGGTAACTCTAACAGTATTACTATCCTAAAGCCGAAAGGTGGAGCGATCAGTAAATAAACTTCTTGCTTAGGACTTGTCTACGAAACTGGATTATTGTGTCGCGTATGAAAAGGCAGTAATTAGAGTCACGTTTCTAGACTGATATTAGGTCAAGAGGGATATAGCATTACATTTACACATCCTTCGGCATCTAAGATAATAGGGTCTCGATTTGATAGATAAAGTATATCATGCATAGCCTCAAGAACGTATAATAAGAGGGGATGTACTATGTACTTGAGCCGATTAGTAGATATAGTACTTGTTTACTCGCCATAAAGTCCAGAGTAATATCACTAAAGAGGTATACGCCGGAAGAATAGGTATAATATAAATAAGATATAGATCTAAGGCCTAGCCTATGTACTGCAGACATGTTAACCACAACCACTTCGTCTCTTTGTACGTTAAGCCCATTTTAAGTCAAATATCCTCGCTCAACCTCCCTGAACCAGTACTAACGATGACGCACGTGCACGACCGCACCTTCATGCCCGACGTTATCATTATCGGTGCCGGGTTCGCTGGAGTCAGCACGTTTTACCATCTGCGGAAATTAGGACTTGTCTGCCAGATTGTGGAGAAGGAGGATGGTATTGGTAATGTTGGCACGTGAACCGATACCCGGGTGCTCGAACAGACTCCGGCGTGCCGTCCTATACCCTCAATATTCCAGAGTGCTGGGAGGCCGGAGCCGGAGCGATTCCCAGACCACAATAAAATAAACCAGTTCTTAGATCACCGTGGCAAGGAGATAGGTATTCGAAAACATGCCTTGTTTTGGAAGGAGCGTTACCGGAGCTCGATTTAAGTCAGCATGAAGCCGCTGTGGTGTGGAGCTGGATGATGGAACATTCATCACCAGCAAGTATCCATTCTATGCCGTTGGGTTTGCACATCAAAGGTCCGATCAGATAGATGAAATACTGCAAGAATTCCGTGGTCAGGTTTATCTTCCATGCGCTTGGCCTCGTTACGATATCAGCCCCAAGGAACAGGATGTCGCTATCATTGAACCTGGGTCCACGGCCCTCCAGATCATCCAGGAATTGGGCACTCTTACGAAATCATTGGCACACTGATACTCGTACACTCTTTGGCATCATGCACCACGGGTTCCCAAATATGTTTATGATATGTGGTTCGCAGTCGCCTGGTGAGTAGTGCAATATGCCTACTTGTATCGATATCCAGGTGGATAGTGAATATAATCCGGAAAATGGAGAGTTAGAATATCATTTATCTCCGTCCCAAAGCTGAGTCAGTGGGGAAATGGAATGCAAAAATTCACGAAATCTATAATGAAGAGTTCTATTCTTCCTCTATAGCCAGTTACGCAAGTGCGGGAAAGCCACTATTTTATGGCGGCGGGGTGGCTCAATATTCTAAAGAGCTTATGAATTGAACTGCATTCTGGGATATTTTCGAACTTGTTTAAGGGGTTATCACGATATCAAACCAGCTAACCTCCAAGCCGCATAAAAGCCTGGTGGGCTTACCAGGGGCAGAAAAGGTGGTTGATTGATTATGTTACAGTTATAACTTACTTTGGGAGGGTCGGGGAGTTTGTTCGTGCGCATCTATGATTTCACGTTAAATGGTCAGAGTACGCTATCAGGAGCATATATTGTGATGGATGAGTCGAGGGATTAAATAGGATTTCCAGGAAATGCTACTATTTACACCGTACTCAACTGCTGCTGATCAATTCAACTTATGTAATACATCCAACCTGACATGAAGAATTAACAGAGTGACTGGAGTTCTTTATGTTTTTTCTTCGGAGTACTAGCAGCATGAATCTCAATCTAGCCCTCGCTAGAAGTCAAGTAAAGGCCCCAAGTTCCAGTAAACCGAAGCTAGCATGTTTCACTTCGCCCTCAATGCTACGATGACCGGCAATGACACCATCTGCTCCACCGGTAATCTCGTCCATAGCCCGAACAGGGTAAGATGAACCGACTAGCGACGCTAGCAAGCCTAGCGGATGCAACGATGCAGAATAAGCCTTCCGACTTTCCATTTCTCCGCCTCTCCTGCCAATTATTATCGTCATCAGTCCGCCATGAGGCCATCCAAGCTTCGCAGACGGGCTTGGTTGTAGACAAGCTTCCTACGCGCTCCGACGGTCGTCCGTCGGAAGTCCTAGGCCTACAGAGGATAGGACGACCTTAAAAAGGCCACTGTTGGGTTTCTACAGATTGAAAGCGACCGTAAAAAACATCTAGAAGGTTCGCGTATATTATGTATCTTCTCACGGCAATTTTGGTCATGCTGGCCCCCAACGCTTGGGGACTCGAAAGCCCTCATCGCAAGGCCCTTCGACCGGCTCGTCAGCCGGCAAATCTTGCTCCTAGGGCGCTTTCGATTGACGATGGCGTCGAGTATAAACACCTCAACAATAAAACCCAGAGTAAGTTTGAGTACCTCCCTAAATCTGCCTTGCTCCGGTCTCACATATGAGGTAGGATTCCTTGTCAACGGCACTGGGATCCCCGAAGTGGATTTTGATGTCGGTGAATCTTACGCCGGCCTCCTTCCCAATACGCCCTCGGGCAATTCTAGTCTTTTCTTCTGGTTCTTCCCTTCCCAGAACCCGAAGGCCACGGATGAGGTATGCCCCGTGTTTTTCTTCAGCTGGTCCTCTGAACCGTAAGCGGTGGGTGCTGACGGGGTAGATCACCATCTGGCTAAACGGCGGCCCCGGATGCAGCTCTTTGGATGGTCTGTTGCAAGAGAATGGCCCATTTCTCTGGCAGTCGGGCACCTACAAGCCCCTTCGTAACCCCTATTCCTGGACCAATCTGACCAATGTGGTGTACGTGGACCAACCGGCCGGCACCGGATTCTCCCCCGGTCCATCGACGGTGCAGAACGAGGAGGGCGTCGCATTCCAGTTCAAAAGCTGGTTCAAGCACTTCTCCGACACCTTTGGTCTGCATGGTCGAAAGGTCTATTTGACCGGCGAGAGCTACGCGGGACAGTATATCCCGTATATCGCGTCGGCCATGCTGGATGAGGAAGACGAGAAGTACTACAATGTAAAAGGGATCCAGATAAACGATCCGTCCATCAATGATGATGCAGTCATGATATATGGTATGCCCCGTGAACAATTTCTATATTTACAGTCGAATGGCTGACTCTAGCCAGCTCCCGCCGTCCGCCACTTCAACCACTATGCCAACCTCTTCGCGCTGAATGACAGCTTCGTTGAAGATATCAACTCTCGCGCCGAGCGATGCGGTTACAACCAATTCCTCGATGAAGCCCTTACTTATCCGCCTCCCAAGGACTTTCCGAAGGTCCCGGACCCCTACCGCGGGGACTGTGCGATTTGGGATGACATAGTGGCCGCGGCGTACGACGTAAACCCATGCTTCAACTTCTACCACATCACCGACTTCTGCCCGTACCTCTGGAACGAGATGGGGTTTCCATCGTTGGCCGGACCCCCCAACAACTACTTCAACCGCTCCGACGTTCAGGCGGCTCTCCACGTTCCCCATACTGATTACTCCGTCTGCGGCGGCAGCACCATCTTCCCTAACGGCGATCTGTCGCTTCCTAGCGCTCTAGGACCACTACCGGGCGTCATTGAGCGCACGAACAACACGATCATCGGCCACGGCTGGCTCGACTATCTTTTGTTCTTGAATGGCTCCCTTGCGACGATTCAGAACATGACTTGGAACGGCGCGCAAGGCTTTCAGAAGTCTCCCGTGGAACCGCTGTACGTGCCTTACCATGCCGGTCTGGCGGACCTACCCAACGGCAACGTGCCCGAGCCGTTTATCTGGGACGCCGGGGCCGGATACTTAGGAACGGCACACACGGAGCGTGGATTGACCTTCAGCACCGTCTATCTGGCGGGTCATGGTGAGTCCCCCTTCCTTCTCATGCTTAACCTCCTAAATGCTAACAACAATATAGAAATTCCTCAATATACCCCCGGCGCGGCGTATCGCCAGTTGGAATTCTTGCTCGGCCGCATTGACAGTCTGCAGGATCAGACCGGGTATACGGCGTAGCATAAGTAGGTTACGTATCATCGATGTCGATGTCGCAAGTCGATAGCAAGTTTGTCCCTCGTTATGGCCATCAAAAAGGGGATCTCGTCATCATACAGAAGAGACGCCCGGTCACTTTGGCAGCATTCTAAGAGAAAAGGGGCGAGTCGGTCAGCCTCGGCTGATCGGTTCGCGAAGTCTAAACGAATACCTAGACCTCGCCAAACGCGGGTTTGGGTTGGGTTTTTAATTTCTTTACCCGCCCACGGGCAACCCACCGCGGGTTTTGACCTTGATGAACCCGCCCATGGGTGCTTGGCGGGTACCCGCGGGTTACCCAAAAACCCCAAAAATATGCATAAATCGTGGATAAGCCTGATTAGTTACATGTCGTAATTTTGGTAATTTATTTCTGTTATGCTTTTGGGTGGGTGTTATATTGAAACAATGTATACTGTTAATTTAAAAATATATATTATCTTTCACATGAAGATCATTATATTCATTATATTTTTTCTGCATCTTAAGGGAGTAGAGGCCACATTGATAAGGTTATAAAAAGTTATAAATTCAAATCTTTGTGAGTTGTCTTAGAATTATTATATCAAATTTGATGAATTAAATCGGCGATTTGCGCCTTCTCAGTGTCCTCTCGATTTCGTATTCTTGGGTTGGGTTGGATTGGGTTAGGTTTTGGGTACCTGCGGGTTTTACGCGACTCAGGAATTGATAGATCCAATGCACGACGCGATTCGAACAAAATCCACATTTAGACACTCAAAATGCAAAAAATCTTTTTCAAAATCGACAGCCTATCCCTTCAGCATGGCATCTTCTTTTTCATCATCGCGATCAATACATCAGGCTTTCAGTTTTCTATTTTCCATTGAGCCGTTCTCGAACGTTTTCTTGGATTCGGACATTCAATCTTCTGTAAGAGAATGAGCCCATTCTGTTTGTCTCTGAATATTGCGAATATACCTACATAAATATTAAGATAGACTGCAATCTTTCAATGGATTTTGCAAGGGTTATGATATAATCGCCCGAAGACCCCCGGCGACATTCAAACATGTGGGATCTCAGTAAAAAAAAAAATGGATTTCGTACGAGTCGCATCTAGAGAGAGACTTCCTTGAATGATGGAAGAAAACGGAGTACGATCAAAAGTTGAACGAAGACGGCCAATCTCAGATTAAATGGTCCACCGAATTGCGTCACGCTAATGTGTGGAAACATTTTGATCAGGTGGCTGAAATTGATTCTGGATGTCTTCGAGTCATTTGTTAGATTTGTTTCACTGTGTTTGATTATCCGCAGTATAAAAGGAATGGGACAAGCGCCATGAGTAGATATAAAAAGTCTAATACTTGTCGCAAAGGAAAGAAAAAAAGATTTCATCAATCACTGATTTCGGATTCGTTGCAAAACCAGTTCACAAGAGAGTCACTCAGTGCTCACAGGGTAACAGCAATCCAATTTGAAGAGCAGCTTTTGAAAACAATTATCTGTCTTCATTTGCCTTTTCAGACGGTGGAGAATCCGGTATTTTAGAAGCTGCTTAGTCTCCTATATTCTGATTTTGGGGAATTGGAACTCCCGTCAGCGAAGATCCTGCGGAGACAGCTCCGGAATGCAGTTATTTATCAATAGGACTCACAGTTGCAAGATCTGCCTAACGATGTCAAGGTTTCTTTCGTTTTGGATTGTTGGACCAGTCCATTTCAACAGGCGTTTATGGCAATCACAGTTTATTTCATCGATAAAGATTGGAATTATAGGAAAATGCTCTTTGGTTTTGAACCGTTGCACGGTCCTCACACAGGCAACAATCTGAGTGATGTTTTACATCAATTATTGGAGGAACGCAAACTCCTGAATCGTATTTTTAGCGTTATTACAGATAACGCTACTAACAATAACATTATAATATAAACATTGCAAGAAAAACTAATCTCTATTGGCGCAATTAACTTCAGAGAATCGATAGTGCGGGTTTTTTATATGGTTTATGTGATCCAGCTTTGCTTGAAACAACTCTTGAAACATATTAAAGCAATATTTAAGAATAAAGAGATAAAGCTTTTTGATCTGATATCCAAGTGAATGGATTGAAGGATTCGGTCAATCATGAAAATGTGGCTCATACATTAACAAAAATGAGCCAAGATGTTCATGATTTGTTCGTCAATATAATGGGAGCACTGATAAAATTAGATTCGGTTCTTTGCGGTCTTTGTCAACGCAAGTCCACAACGGCGAGATGCGTTTTTATGTTTTCAATCAAACGATGTTCGGCTTTTTTCGTTGCATGATGTCCAAACATGTTGGAATTTAATGTTCTTGATGCTTCGCCGAGCACGCTGGTTAAGGAATATAATTGACAAATACTGCAGCGATCATGAATACTCGCAGTTCAAGATTACTGATGTCGAATGGAGACAAATTGACTATTTAGTTTATTTGATCAAACTGTTCTTTCAGTTTACTATGGCTCTGATGAAGACCAGAGATGTCACAATCCATAATGTCTTTCTTGTGTACAGGAAGCTGCTGGAATATATTGAACGGTTGAATCGAAAATTGAAGAAAAAGGCAACATCCTGGAAGAAAGACATGTATGGCGCGTTGCTTGTTGTTAGATAGAAGCTGAGAGAGTATTATGAAAAGATCTATCGCGATCATGGTTTTCTCTATGGCATCGGAACATTACTCGTTCTTCAATATAAGCTGAGTGCTTTCGATGATCGAAAGTATTCCATTTGCCACGAAGATACGTCAAAAAGGTACTGTGAATATTTGAAAACATTTTTCACACAGTATCAGTAACAGAATCTCGAGTTACTATTTCGTACGGTGCAGCGCTTTTCCATTTCGCATAACACGGAGTTTGATCGGCTGCTTGAACCATCTGACGCATCGATGTTTCACGAAAGGATAGAATATGACGAAGTGGACTGATATCTTAGAGAAAATACAAACAATTAACACATTATATCGGAACAATTAACTGACCTTAAATAACGAATGTTTTTGTATCATCGTGATTGTATTGAAAGGAACATGAGTGCGAGTTTCCAGTGCTTTCTTGACTCGCATAAGATTTGCTTTCGGTCTCGGTCATCAGCATGGGTGTAAAAAGGCTCTTCAATAGTGCATGAGATATTTGTCATTATTGTCGAAGATCTTTTCATGAAGAGATTATTCAAGATTTGATGATGTATATGTGCTCAGAAAAGCTCACATTAAAGAAACAGCAATTGATCTGTCTGAAGAAACTGTTGGAGAGTGATAGTCAAGAGATATTTGAAGAGGATGAAGCGTTGAAAGCAATTGAAAAGAATGCAGCGCTGATTAGCAATGATGAGGAGATTGAAGAGAGTGAGAATGTCAAGGGTAGTTTTGAGATAGAAGAGTCATATCAAATGGAGTGTATGTTGATAAAGACTGGCCGGAGTTCCATGCACAGTTAGACTCACGATCTTGATCAAGAAGAAGGAAGTATGGAGGAAGAGATAGTTAAATACAACGAAACAAATTTATTTCTGTCTTCAATTACGCAATTGGATGATAGAAGCCAAAAAAGATCTTTTGATTGGTTAACAATACCTTCAAGTAGACTGCGAGATTATGAGGTTTATTAGTCTTTGTAATTAGTCAATCTTAATTTTTTTTAGACCATCATATTCTTCCAAATCTATTCAGCCGTAGATTAATAACTAGATACACAATTGATACCATTAGATAATTGAAAGTTACTGCATAATTTAATGTAAAATGATAAGTCAACCTTTTTTGCTTTTTTGGGTAATCGCGGGTACCCATTTGGGTCTTGGGTTGGGTTCCCCAGATGACAACCCGCCCACGGGTTTGCTGACTAAGACCCAACCCGACCCGTGGGCTGGGTTTTCGTGGGCGGGTTTGGGCAGTGGGCGGGTTTTGGCGAGGCCTACGAATACCGTACCTGATCACCTGACTAGACCTCTTCAAGTCCCATGGGACTAGGTCAAGTCTAGTCCCAAGTCCCAGTGCACTCCACTCCCGTGGGAGTACCGAGCATTTCTAGTCCCTCCCATGGGAGTGGAGCATACTCCCACGGGGATTCCCCAATTCCCCGCCAAGGCCTCAATTTTGCATAACTAACCAAATTAGTATGGATAAATTCGCTGACTACTTACTTTATATTACTGTTATTCACACCTGTTCTGGTCAACAATGTTATTTATATTAAATCCTATCCAAAATCTGGATAAAACCTTTCCAAGTTTCCCTGTATAGGATCCGTCTCTTATAAGGATATACGTTCTACGTAGGCTGCGGCAGCATCCGCGAAAATCCAAATCCGCTCCGCATCCGCTCCGCAGATTGCGGATATGGATATGATTCTGACATCCAACTATCCGCGCGGATTGGATGCGGATTTAGGCTTCAAAAAGTTGAATATCCGCGGATATCCAGCGGATTTGAAAACAATACAAATATGTCAAGTCTCGTGATCTGATTCGACATACACATCTTATGCAGATTTCAAGATAATATTCTGTATGACCCGCGTTATGTATTATTGAATTAATTACATATTCGTGATACAAATATTATTTCTAATAATATATCGCATTAATTCACTCTTCAACTGCTCCATTCAGCATATTATATAGTTATACTATGGCTTGCCTATCTCGAATCCGTCTGATAGTCATGACTTCTTCCGAATCCTTCCTGTCCGGGTCTGTGTACCATTGAATGCCGTTTCTTCGAACAGAGCACTATTTTCCAGATCTAAACTATTTATCGACCGCTTTGAGAAGCGAAAGATTGCCAGTTCATCTATATTATTATCAGAAATCTTTTGTTAATCCTTCTTTTGTAATTCTTTTTGACATCCTTCCTCTTTACTGTCACTAATCGATTCTATAAACTCAAGTGATGATGGAGATAGACGGCTCTGATCAAGCATAGCAGCTTTATTAAATAAGAAATATTCCTTAATCATCTCAACCTCTGCCTGTTTCAGCTCAAAT